ACGGCCGGAATTCCAACGGGACCCCGAAATTCCAACTGGAACCCCGAAATTCCCAATGGGAACCCCAAAATTCCCAATGGGAACCCCCTGGGACCTCAAAATTCCAATGGGAGCCCCGAAATTCCAAAGGGGAACCCCAAAATTCCAAGGAAACCCCGAAATCCCAACGGGGACCCCGAAATTCCAATGGGAACCCCAAAAACCAGCGGAGACCTCAAAATTCCAATGGGAGCCCCGAAATTCCAATGGGAACCCCAAAATTCCCAATGGGAACCCCCTGGGACCCAGAAATTCCAATGGGAACCCCGAAATTCCAATGGGAAGCCCAAATTCCCAATGGGAACCCCAAAAACCAGCGGGGACCCCAAAATTCCCAATGGGAACCCCGAAATTCCCAATGGGAGCCCCGAAATTCCAATGGGAACCCCAAAATTCCAAGGAAACCCCGAAATCCCAACGGGGACCCCAAAATTCCAATGGGAATCCCAAAAACCAGCGGAGACCTCAAAATTCCAATGGGAACCCCAAATTCCCAATGGGAACCCCAAAAACCAGCGGGGACCCCAAAATTCCCAATGGGAACCCCGAAATTCCCAATGGGAACCCCAGAATTCCAAAGGGGACCCCAAAATCCCAATGGGGACCCCGAAATTCCCGGAGGGGACCCCGGAATTCCAACGGGAACCCCAAAATTCCAATGGAAACCAACCTGGGAACCCCGAAATCCAACGGGGACCCCAAGATTCCCAATAGGAACTCCAAAATTCCAGTGGGAACCCCAAAATTCCCAACAGGAATCCCTCGGGAACCCCAATATCCAACAGAAACCCCCAGGACCCCAAAATTCCACTGGGAACCCCAAATTCCCGATGCGAACCCCAAATTCCAGCCGGGACCCCCCCAGAATCCCACCGGGAACCCCAGAATTCCTACCGGGAACCCCAAAATCCAAATGGAACCCCAAAATCCAAATGGGACCCCAAAATCCCCCGGGTTACTCCCAAAATTCCCACCGGGACTCCCCAAATTCCATCCAGGACCCCCCTGGATTCCCCAAATTCCCACTTGGGCCCCCCAGGGCACCCCAAAGTCCCCCTGGAACCCCCAAAATCCCCCAAAATCGCCCCAATCCCCCGAAATTCCCCGCAGAAGCTGAAGGATTACCAGCGGCGCCTGGACCTGTCCGGGGTGAAGCAGAGCTCCGACCCCCTCCTCAACGAGTTCAAGGTCGGGGGGGCCCGGGACCCCCAAATCCACCCCCAAATCCTGCCCAGCTTCACCCCAAAAACCTCCCGAGGCCTGGGGGGGTCCAGCGCCCCCGATCCCGGCTCTGACGGCACCAAAACCCCCCAAATTCCTCCCAAATCTTCTCAAATTTCCCCCAAAAACTCCCCCCGGATCCCCAAAAATCCTGTCCCAAAT